TAACATCATTCTCAACCTAAAACCTTAAGATGATAGGTTATGAGTTTTTCTCACTTATAAGTTCCTCAACTTTCCTATTTCTATAAAATGAGAAACTTCACATTGCATGTAAATTCTCAACATTAGTCTTCTTAAAAACTTAATTTCATAACCTTTTCAGGAAATTTTTAAAAAGTTTATGAAAAATATTTTTTGAAATGAATTCTGAATTACATTTTTTAATTTGTATTTTTTAAAATTATATTCCAAATTCAATGATTCATATTTTATATTATGGATTATGTTTCCTAGGATACACTTCCAAAAACACACAATAAAAAATAAGTTATGGATTGTTAGGTACATAGTACGTTATAAATCAACAACAAAATTCTAATAAAGTAAAAATAATGTTTGAATGAAAGTGTAGGAAGTGCATATTACCACTTTCAATTTTAATATATACATAAAAAAATATTTAACAAAATACGACTTATAATTTACTAAAATTAAAGTCATCTTTATTTAAATTGAAATTATATTGTATAATACTATTTCTTATTAAAAAAAGTTTTACGTGTTTTTTTTTTCAGAAACGACCTATTTCAATAAGTTCAAGTCGATGTATGTATTTTTGCCTCGAGTACAATGTCTTTAAAAAGATTGTTATCATCAAATTATATCTTAGACCTATTTCTTTTCTCGAGTTTCAATTAATATTAATTAACTATTAAAATATACAAGACTAAAGAATTATATGTTTTCATATAAAATGATATTTTATATTATTATCAATTAATACTAAAATAAATGGTGCAATAAATATTATTATTTTTTCTATAATAAACTTGTATTTTATAGTCTTTTTATCGAATATAATTTTTGATAACTTAAACCATGTTCAGATAAAATTATCTTTAAAAAATATCTACAAATAAAGGTATTATTTTATTATTAACAAATGCTTTAAAATTGTTATAATATTTTATTATGAAGTAATTCTTCTTATTCTTTTTTTTAACTTACCTTGTGATAGAGATAATTAATAAACAAAAGTATAATTGATAAAAAAATATATCTTAAATTTTAAAAATAACAAATAATATAAAATTAATTTTTATTTTAAATTTTATAATTACTAAAAAATTAACATATTATAAGATACCCTTAGATGAACATGATGACTTTCCATCATCATTATTCATTTACTCCCGTGCTAGTGTACGCGTTGTTATGATTTCTTCAATAATAATAATAATAATAATAATAATAATAATAATAATAATAATAATAATAATAATAAATCAACTCTAAATTTCTGGTCAAACCTAGGAGTTGCTACAGTCAACACTCATTCATTCCTACACATCTACCCCTTCTAAACCATCATAATAATGAATTTGATTCTTTAAGGTTAATGTCTTCGTTTGAATAAATTAAAAAACTATGACACTAATTTCTATTTTTACTCTATTCTTTTAATTTAAATAACTTTTGTATATTACCATCAAACAGAAAAAAATAGTGATTAATAAAGTTGATGAATGTTAGAGTACTCATGAATGATTATAAAAAAAATAAACTAAATTTGTCCCTACATAAATGGGCATGCCTAAATTTTTGTTCTCTCCATCAACCATTAATGTCCTCTAGTAAGATACATGACACCTAATAAATTAGGAACCAACAAAGTTTAGAGGGCAGAGTACTTGCTTGGGTCCCCACTGCTCATGACTTCTGACCCTAAACCACACACCCACATGCCTTTGCTTCCTCTTCATCTCAATCTCTTCCAAGTTTTCAACCAACCACACATAATAACACTACTTAAGTTCTTCATTTATTTGACCAAAGTTGAGCTCGTCATAACTAATTTCACATGGATACCATATGATATGACACACTTTTAATTAATAATATTAATGTAGACGTTGATATTGAAAGCATTTATTATTGGGAGTGGTTAATCGTACATTAATTTAAAAGTTTTGTTTTGATATAAATAGTAATGATTGGTCCATCTTCATCGCACATAGGAAAGTGTAGAAGGTGAATTCAATCGAAGACAGGTTTAACTTCAAGTACAAATTTCATCGAATTGCTTCTTAAAAGAGAAGATGACGAGACATATATTAAAAAAAAATTAAAATAAAAGGTTATTAATTTAAAAATTATCATAGATTAAAAATAGTACCCTAGTTAACCTATATCGAGTACAAAAAGTAGTTTGCATTGACATTTAAAAACCAGTTTCTTTAAACTTAAAATAAATATTTTCGAATAAATGATATTTTTTAAGTACTCTATCTAAATAGGATTTATTTATTGAAAGAAATTGAAAACTCTTTAATTTAAAATAAGGACAAATAAATTACAACTATTTAAGATATGATCCAAGATGGTTCGGAGTTCGGAGCCGAAAGCGCGTTTGCTTGTTTAGGAAAAGCAAAATTCCTTTCAAAAACTTGTTATTTGACAAGTTGGATAAAATCGTTTGACAACTACAGTATCTGAAAATTTCACTCACGATTATCATATTGTTTAAAAATTAAACACTATGGATTATATTTTTTTTAAGGATAAAATTCTGATAAATGATAAAAATTATCATTATTATTAAAATATTAATATTTAAAAATTATTTTTACTCAAAATTATTAAATTTTAATATTTAAAAGTACTGTAATATTATCATACTACGTGTTACAGTGTTATGATAGAGAACTCAAATCACAAAAACAAATATCATTTCATCTTTTTAATCATAAACTACAAGTTTGACTTTGGGAGATGGAGTACAGCTAGCTTCTTGCCGAATCCAATCCAATTTTAAGCTGTGTTTGGACCATGCAAAGATTTTTCCTTTATATATTTTCCAAATTTAATTTCTTTAATTTAAAAAGGGGCATGATTTTAATGAGAGCTTATAAACCATTTTCAATGATTTTTTTTTCTTCATGTCCAATAAATTGTTTTCTGAATAAATTCATCATTAAAATAATTTTATGTGACATTATAAGTTTTTAACTTTTTAAAAAATAGTTTCTTATATAAATAATTGTTTCAAAATGTAAATTAAAAAAAATATATCATATTGCCAATCTTTATTAATGATGTAATACTGCGAGGACTAATAAACATAACTTTTTATATACAAACCCAAATAAATTTATCCCATAAAATTTGATTTTTTTTTACTCTTTTATTGATATTACGATAAAAAAGTAATTAAATTATAATATATAATTAAAATGAAAAAAATATATTATAAATTAATTTTATAAAGTTGAGTTAAATATATTTTAATTTTTAATATAATTACAGAATCTTATCTATCACTATTTTTACTATCATATCGTTTTTAAATTTATCAACTAAAAATATTATTAAATTATAATATATAATTAAGATATAATAAAAATAAAATTTAAACAATTAATCTATTTATTTTTATACTAAATATATAATTAAATTTTTAACATCTTTTTTATTAAGAACAAATGATTTAATTTATTAGATTTCTGGTTAATATAGGATTCTTAATATATTTTTTTATATAAAAAATAAATGATTTAATATTGATCTAATAACAATAAATAATTTACTCTAACATTATTTTTACAATATAAAATACTTAATTTAATTTTATAAAATCAATTTAATAAAATAGGAATTATACTTGTTATATTAATTTATATCTTATAATATTATTTTTCATATCGAATTTCGAACTTATGCAAGACATTGGATACGTGTAATGTGAACATCCGAAGGTTCTTTTTGTACGACATTATTACAATAATATTCCTTCCACTTCGAAAAAGGTACCAATGCCCACATTTTAGACATTTTCAAAGTTTTATGATTTTCACTTTGACCATGACGCTGCTTTGTGGAACTCTGGCTGGCATCGAACTGGAAAATGAATGTTTACTGTTCCACCATTGTTAACGCATGCAACAAATTTACCATTAATGATAGTTGAAAGATTTTAAATGCACTGTTACCAAAGTGAAGTATTGGTTAAGTAAAAAACTGTAGATGATATTAAGGATTTTCTTACCTTTTTCAACCTCTGAGATGGAAGGAACAAGGTTTGGTCTCCCTTAAAACAGAAGAAATGAAGAGTCATTGATAGAAAAAAGTGGTTTGAATAGAAGAGTTGATGGAGAAGCTGAACTATTACTTACGTCATGTGTTGATCAAAACGATCGATAGAAAGAGTATCCAGTGCTTTTAACTAACTCCATCTCTATCTAATAAGTGTTTTGATAGAGCTCTAGTACCTATGTTTCTATATATCCATATAATGATTACTCACTAAATCCTTCTCTAATTGGCTGTTACAAATGTGCAATATGGCAGGTGTTTCGTCAATGAACAAATTAAACATATATGTTGTAGGTGATGTAATAAGTGGAATTGGATGGGTAGAAAGTAGCAACCTATGCATTGTTGTGTCCCAATTAACCTCAGCATTAGTTGAAGCCTTTCCTTGCACCTTCCTTTCTTCTGCAAAATGCATTCATTGTGTAACTACCGACACACCCCCACACCACACTCTTCTCCTTATTTTGCATTCATTGCCAAATTATAACTATAAAATTGAGTTAAATACAAATTTTTATTAAAGCTAATGATTTTTATAATAATATAATTTAATTTAGACCTAAATAAAATAAAAAAAATTAAATAACTAATTCTTAAATATATTTTAAATTAAAATAAATATTTTAAAATATATTTTGAAGTATAATTTTTTGGGTTAGGAGTTGATTGTAAACAGAGAAATTGAAAGTGAAAGAATAAAGTAAGTGAGATTGTAAGAATGATTTTTAGAAGCGTGATTCTGTAATATCAGCACAAGATTAACGAAGAAGACAAACATGAAATAGTTCCAACAACTCAATAATTTCTGAGTTTTTCTTCACCCAGTTGCCTATAAATGCTCATCATATGCCAAAACATATATTCGCAGACACAAGTCACAAACTTCTATCCCAACCCCAGGTCAAAAAACAATGTCACTCCCATCATGTTTTCTTCTCTTTCTCTTCCTCTTAGCCCCATTAATCTTGGCTCAATCTCCACCTTCTCCTTCCTCTTCTGTTGCTTGCAAAGCCACACTATATCCAAAGCTATGCCGTTCCATTCTCTCAGCCATTCGCTCCTCCCCTTCTGACCCTTATGGCTATGGCAAGTTCTCCATAAAGCAAAGCCTCAAACAGGCACGTAAACTGGCCAAGGTGTTTGAGGACTTTCTCCAACGCCACCAAACATCATCTTCCCTTAACCATGCAGAACTTGCATCCCTGGTAGACTGCAGAGACCTCAACCAGCTAAACGTCGACTACTTAATGTCCATATCCGAAGAGCTCAAATCCGCAAGCTCCTCGGACTCTGAGCTGGTTGAGAAGATCGAGACTTACCTCAGTGCTGTGGCCACCAACCACTACACGTGTTATGATGGGTTGGTGGTGACCAAAAGCAACATTGCCAATGCCCTTGCCGTGCCACTCAAGGATGTTACCCAGTTGTACAGTGTCTCACTTGGGTTGGTCACTCAGGCTCTTGACAAGAACCTCAGAAGGAATAAGACCCGCAAACATGGCCTTCCCACCAAGGCCTTCAAGGTTCGGCAACCACTAGAGAAGCTCATCAAGGTAATCCTTATTCTCTTCACCTATGGATATTCCCCTTCATACTTGCTTTTAATCATAGTTCATTTAGCTCATTTTTGTCTCATGATTAAGGTTTTGATGTTGTTCTATGAATTTGGTGTTGTTGTCTGGCTTCTAAGAAAAACACTTTCTTTTTAAAATCTATGCTGTTGTATCAGTATAAAATCTCTTGACTTTAATGAACTGCAATAGATCTCTTCCCTTTTATACTAAAATATTCTGTGTAATAAAAAGAGTGTTGTTCTAGAAGAAACTATGTTTCTTATTACCAGTTTGGTTAGCAACATATTTTATGGAGAATTGTTAATGTTCCAATTAAAGAACATTATTGACTCATAATTTTGTTCAATTTAATTGAACAAATGTGATATGAAGATAGAGGAGAATTATGAATACAGAATTAATTTTTAGATCATATAATAATTTAAAAAATATTTGTATTGGTTGAAATATAAGTATATTCTCCTAGTTTTAAAACAAGGTATCAAAATTTGGATGAGAATAATGTGTTGTAAAGAAAGAGGTTGGTTTTTGTACTATTTTAAATCACCGACAAATCAAAACTTTAAATCATCATATAATTTTTTGTCTTTTTCCTATAAGTAAAATCACAATAAGGTTATTTAAAAATAAAATTATTTAAATATCAATTATATATATATATATATAATTGTTTTAAAATTAAAGAAATTACTTAATATATATTAAAATAATAATTTTATCAATTTATTAAAAAAATATGCTTTGAATATATATTATTTATGAAAAATTTAGGATTATTTATTTATTTTTATTTGTATGGAAAACAAATTTATGATTTTTGGTTCATCTGAACCAAGTGCAAGCATGACTTATTCTTCTTCTTTTCTCTTTTTTTCTCCCTCAAAATTCTGGCTTATTAGGAAGAGTTTGACTCTTTTTTTAAAAGTAAATAATAACTTGAAGTACGCACACTTCTGATCCAGAATAAAATCTTCACTACTTTTTTACTTTTTGGTACACACTTGTTCTTTACTACTTGGACACTCAACAATTATTTCTTCAACTTTTTTTCTGCAATGATTATTACTGTATTTCTACTTTTCTAAGAATGAAAATAAGTTAAAAAATATTATTTTTTATCTTATTATTTTTTTATTTGATTATTTTATTAGTATTAATTTTATTTTATTTTTTAAAATTAAATTAATATTTTATTTATATTAATGCTTTTAAATTATCTAATAATAAATGCATCATGATACTACCCTGAATATTATTGATATAGTATTAATATGATAATAAAATATATATTACACATTTATGTGATATATATTATTAATAATACAGGAGTAATAGTATAATAATAGTTAAATAAAGATAGATATATAGATGAAAAGAAGGGATAATAATATTAAAATCAAATTCCAATAAATCGTTATGAGATGGTGTGAAAAATTCAACTTACATAATAAACAAAAACATTTGACTAGTCTAATCTGAACTTCTAAGATGAACTGCTTCATGTTAAAAAGCAATGATAGGTGAAGTCAATCACATGCATTATGCGTAAATGGGTTGACCATGGGTCAAACAAGTACACTCTGTTTTCGTCTGTTTTTAAAGTGGACTTTTTCTTCTTTCCACCATTTGCACCACACCATGCAGGTGCAATCTACATTTTATTTGCTGCATGCCATTATGTATACCATAAATTAAGGTGAAGCTGTCTACATTCTGCAGATGAATTCATGAGCAAAGATTCTTAGTTGTTATCAAATCTCATAAATGAAAATAGAAAACATGTTCATACTTGTAGCTTGTTCATTGGCATGTTTTAGAATCATAAAGCATGTGAAAATTGAGATATTATATTGTTGCAGCTTCTTCGCACAAAGTATAGTTGCACCAAGTTATCAAATTGTACTAGAAGTGGAAGGAATCTTAAAGAAAGTGGAAGCCAAGGAATTTTATTATACGATTTTGTGATTGTGAGTTCTTATGCAATAGACAACTACACTTCCATTGGAGAGGCTATTGCTGCTGCACCCAATAACACAAAGCCTGAAGATGGATATTTCCTTGTGTATGTTAGGGAGGGAATCTATGAGGAATATGTAGTCATTCCCAAAGAAAAGAAGAATATATTGCTTGTTGGAGATGGTATTAACAAGACTATCATCACAGGGAACCATAGTTTTATAGATGGTTGGACAACTTTCAATTCTTCCACATTTGGTAAGACCTTTATTCTTTCTAACTGCAAAGACTAGTTTTCACTTGTCCTAATAACATGTCAAGTGTCATCACGGATTTTTCTTTTATTGAGATTCACTTAACAGTTAACACCATAAGTTTTTGAATCAGTAACATAAATGTGTTAGCATTAATTCTTCTGCTAAAAATTCACTGACGTGTTAAAATAAATGATTTAGTAATAAATAGTCTTTGTACTGAAAGTATAAAGGATGTGTATACTGTTTCTAAACTGTGATCTAATCACAAATAATCATGTATGATAATTTTGTTATCTTTTACAACAATAACTTTAAAGCCGGATCAACAATTGTTTCTGTGGTTGATTGTGAAAAAATTATATTTACAATGCATGAAAATTAAACTCTAAAATGTTACTCAAAATCTTCACCTCAGCACTTGTTCCTTGACAGAAACTATATGTTAAAATTGTATGGGTATAGTTAGCCAGTTACATCAATCACTGTCATTTCTGTTAAAATTTTGATTAATCTACATCATATTTGCCTTTGTGTTGAATGCAGCTGTTTCTGGAGAAAGATTTATAGCAGTGGATGTTACATTCAGAAACACAGCTGGACCTGTAAAACACCAAGCAGTAGCAGTGAGGAATAATGCTGATCTCTCTACATTCTACCGCTGCAGTTTTGAAGGATATCAAGACACTCTCTATGTTCACTCTTTGAGGCAATTCTACAGAGCATGTGAAATCTATGGCACTGTGGACTTCATCTTCGGCAACGCAGCCGTGGTCTTCCAAGACAGTAAGATCTATGCTAGAAAACCATTACCAAACCAGAAGAATGCTGTGACAGCACAAGGAAGAACTGATCCTAATCAGAACACTGGCATTTCAATCCAAAACTGCACCATTGATGCTGCACCAGACTTGGCTGCGGACTTGAATTCAACGGAAAGTTACTTAGGTCGGCCATGGAAGGTGTATTCAAGGACTGTCTACCTGCAGTCATATATTGGAAATGTTATTCAACCTTCAGGGTGGTTAGAGTGGAATGGCACAGTTGGGTTAGACACCCTCTTTTATGGTGAGTTCAACAACTATGGACCTGGTTCTAACACTAGCAATAGAGTACAATGGCCAGGTTACTTTCTGTTGAATGCTACTCAAGCTTGGAACTTCACAGTCCTGAACTTTACGTTGGGAAATACTTGGCTTCCTGACACAGATATACCTTACACTGAAGGACTACTAAGATAGACAGCTGAATGTTTATATTGAAAAAATAATTTTGACTCGTTCTTTGTTAGATATAATGTAGTTACATGATTTTCCTTTCAAAAGGAAGACCATCCAAAAGGGATGATGAGAGTCATTAATGTTCTTATGCCCAAGTATTAATAAGAATATATGTACAAGTTTGTAGAAATAATGTACTTGAAAGCAATTAGGAAATCTGCTCCACAACGATTCTGATATCCTAATGTGCCTTTCTTTTGCTTCAAGATGTGGGTTGAGTTGCACGCTTGTCTCCACTCTCCAACAACAACATTCATAGTCATATTCCACTAAGTGAAGTTTGCTGCATGGATTCGAAGTTATCACATCATTGAAGTTAGTTAAAAAGAAAAATATCAGAATATTATTCACCATAAAATCACTTCTATTGTCCATTCTTGTCTCCAAGTGAAACGAAATTGAGAGAAAGGGACAGAGATTGGTGTAAACTAAGTATGAAGAAAAAAATAGTCAAATGAAAAGAATCATTATACAATGTCAAATTAATAATACAAATCAAGAAGATAACGGTAAAGGAAGAAAAATTACAAAAGTGCAACAATTTTAAGAAAGGGAGCTTTGCAAATTGCATATTATGGCTGTTGTCATAGATCAGACTTAAATGGGGCGCCTGCTGCAGAAATCCATTTATCTCCATGTAGAAAAGCCTTGATAGTAAACTTGCTGGCTTGTTTACTAGTAATGGTTCTCAAACCCCTCCACTTCACCCTATTATTTGTTGAAGCACCTGGTCCAACATTCTGAAATTCTGCATAGAAAATGCTGTCTGGAGCTGAATTCCCTGTCCATGGTAACCATCCTTTGGGGTTCACAAAGCTTTCCATTCTGGATTTCATGTACACTGTGGTTGAGTAATTCTTCCAGGGTCTTCCAAGGTAGGTCTGGACAGAACTCAAGTTACCAAAGGGTGAAATGTTGCAATTCTGAATGGAGATCCCAGTGTTCATGTTGGGGTCAATTTTTCCCTGAGCTGTGATTGTGTTCTGCTGACCAGGAATTGGTAACTTTGGCCTAATATTGCAGTTTTGGATCACAACTGCAGAATTGCCAAAAATGAAATCAACCGTGCCATAGATGTTGCATTCTCTGTAGAATTGGCGGTTGGAATGAGCATAGAGAGTATCCTGATATGCATCAATGTGACACCTATAGTAAACTGCTTGATCAGCACTTGTCATTAGTGCCACTGCTTGATGCTTCTGTGGACCAGCAGTGTTGACAAAACCCATATCTCTAGCTATGAAATTCCTTCCAAATACAGCTGATTTCACCCAAACATATAAATAAGAAAATATCTTCTAGTCATCAAAACTGTGTTTATGAAATGATACACACTAAATTCGAAGCCTAATTTATTTTCATGCACCATTAATGCAAAGGTCTTTACACAACTAACCAATAAAAAATCATGTTAGGTAGGACTCCTAAAATAGTCATATAAAAGTAAAAAAAAATTACTATACATGATAATCTTGATTTGTTGACATTGTAAGAATTGTTTACATGGTTAGTGTTTTCTAATTAAATTCCTAGTTTAAGAATATTTTTTGTCTGTTTTTTCTCAAATTTGATTTTGTTCTCTATACTTTAAAAGCCTGGTCCATGCTCTGTGAACTTTTTGAATTTGGCTCCTATAGTAGAGATCAGTTCCTTAACTAAAATAACTGCATGAACTTAAAAATACTATTAAGAAAATCATTTTCTTTCCCACAAAAAATGTGCCTAAGCCTAAAATGAATGAATATAATTTGTACTTACAAAATGTTGCTGTCGAAAATGTTGGTGTGCCATCCACAAAGTTAAGACTGGCAGATACAATAGTAGAAGTCATTCCATCACCAATCATCATCACATTCCATTTGGTCTTCTCAACCCTCACATTTTCATAGTAAACCCCTCTCTTCACATAGATCACAGTCCTATTGCTACTCTCTTTAGGAACATGTTTAAGTGCATCAGAAATTTTCTTATATTTGCCACTGCCATCTTTGGCCACAACAATATCAGCTTTCTTCCTCAAATCCTGAGTTAGAAGCAGCCTCCTATCTTGAGAATGAAGCCATTCTGGTGCTTCATTCTGATGAGGTAAACTCAGTAAGCGCCGCAGGTTCAGTGTGGTTGCAGCCTTGTTGATCCAGGTAATGATGGCAAGACTGTTACTGGTGAACTGTGTAGAATTTTTGAGATAGCTTACTACACTTGTCTTAATTGCTTCTTTTTCATTTTCAAAGCCTTCAATACAAGTCTGCTGGTATGTCCCTATTTCAGTATACAAGAAAACAAATTGTACAGTTATTGTTATCAAGCAAAAGGGGCACAAAAATAGTGCACTCTAGCTCTAATTTGGAGATTTGAAATTAGTTGTAGTAGTTCTAGCAGCTTATTTTTTTCTGTTTTAGGCCAGCAAATCATCTAGCTACACTTTGCATGCTCCAATACCAGTAATAAGGGTAAAAAGATATTGAAAACTCTTAACAAGGATCACAATGGAACATGATAAATAAGTTTATAGCATGGCCAATTTTACTTTTTTTTGTATGTTACATGACCAGGGATGCCAAACTACAAAATAATAAAAACTAGTTATAATATTCAAACTACCTTGGATTCTATTTTAAAACTAACTTACAATAAGAAAGTTGGTCAAGAATTGAAACCAATTGATATTAACAACTATTAGCTTTTTAAAAATCACATCCAAACTGCAAAAAAATCAAAATCTAAAACATGAAACCAAATATGATATAAGAAAAGTTGGTCATTTATTCAGTGAGTCAGCAATTAAGGTAGGAGCATGGAACTTTCTAAAAATTTCATTACTATCTTTTTGTGTACTATCCATTTACCTCAACTTGTACAGTACAGAGGAGAGATAAACTCAAATATGAATTTCTGTCTTTTAACCTCAAAAGGAAAAAAAAGAAAAAGAAAAAGAGAAGTGTCTAAGTAGTGTAAGAAAATGAACTGTGAAAACATCATAGTTACTTGCCAAGAAAGAGCCTTGAATGTATGTCTATAAATTCTGACTATGCTTATAATTAATATAGTACCTGCAGCACTTAACCATGTTTCAAGATCCTGAAAAACTTCAAGAAGGGAAAACTTTTCCCCTGATGTCAAGGAGCTATTCAGATGGTCAGCCGCAAGACCCAAAAGGTCCCTGCAATTTTTCAAAGCCTCCTTAGTCCTTCTGTCCTTCACCAACCCTTTGAAAACTCCATGATCATGATCACTGAAATACTCAACAGCTTTGAACACTTCAGATAAAGCCACCTTTATTGACAACACGAACAACTCCTGAGGCTGAACCTTCCTTGATTCCACAGCAGAGCCAAGGCTGGTGTAGCATGAGTCTTTGTACAATGTCACATCACAAACAGCCTTCACGGAATTGGTCACAGTGTGAGCATCACCAGCACCTTGTGGTGAATTGTCACGAGTGGTTCCAAGAATGCCAAAAACAGCAGCAAAAACAACACCTGCTAGGACTATTGATGAGAGGCATATTGTGATCCTCTTTCGGGTTTTCCTCCTTGCCTCCAACACCATCTGCTCATGCTCATCAACTTTCCCGTAGGATTTGAAGGATGACATGCTGAAGGCTTGTGCACTCAAGATTGTTGAGGTGGGAACGTGTAAGTAACAGTTTGCTCCCCAAAGACCCAACACAGTTCTCTCAAAGAATATATATATAACATAATTAAGGAGAACTAATGATAAAGTACATTTAGTCCTAACAACTTCAAAAAATAATTTATAAGATGAGTTTATACCTGTTCATGTAATTTATTTTAATCATGTCTGAAAAACTGTATAGAATTCACTAATTTTGAAAAATATTTCTAAGTCTAACTCAATTTTTATACATTTTATTGTAGTTACTTAGATAGTATCATACTCTCAAACATTATTTGAGTTCATACTTGATTTTTTTTTAAATTGCTTGAATTTACAAGAGAAACTCGTTAAATAAAATACTCTAAAATTTATTATTAATAAATCTTAGTTAATAGAAAAAAGAGAGTTAGACATTGTTATGATTTGTTTAAGATGTGTGGAGTAAGTAGCACGCGACAACATTAATACGTGCAAGACACTAAATCGATATTTGTATCTGCATGTTTAAATGGAGTGCCTCGCATGTTAGAGTCTGTTACATCGTAATTGGTTGCCAGTTTCATTTATTAATTAATTAATTAATTTAATATTATTAGTAGTTGTTAGTGGCAAATCGAGAAAAACGATCGGAATCGAAGGAAAAGAAATGTGACTCGATAAGATAAACAAAAATTCATTCGATGTCCAATTAGAAACACGTAGCATATAGCATCGAGAAGCACAATCGAGAATCGAATGACTGTTGTCAAATAAAGACTAAGTCATATAAGACCAAGGCTAAAAAGGAATCGTAAGCAATTCGAAATTCTCAAAGAATACAGAATCGAGAGTAAAGAAAACCAATGTGGACATCGAGATTTTGGCCAAATCGCGAAAGGAAGCGAGTCGAATGCACGTATAAAGAGCAGTTTTGAAATCATAGGAAAAAATCGGAGATCATGAGAACGTGGGAAACTATAGAAGATAAACTGCCATACGCACGTAGAACGTGGTAGCAGTCGTGTTAACTGCTCTTAGGAAGGTTTGAAGGATGCCCTATAAATAGAGCAAAGGAAGAAGGAACAAGGGGGCAGAAATTGGCAGAGAACAGGATCAGTAGTGAAAAGTCTACCGGAGAAACGACGAACACCATGAAGTTTCTGGCAATCTGGATTTCCTTGCTCACTGAGTACATTTACCGCTTTCTGTATTTTCCTTGGTAATTTACTTTGATGCAACTTAAATTCAGCAGTCTTATGTTTCTGTATTTTCGATTCCTTGCCCATTTCAATTCAATGCAAATTTAAGTTTATACATTTAGTTTTCCATGATTTAACATTCTTGCAATCATCGATTTCTTGTCATTTATATTTGCGCTGTTTTCGATTCTTTGCTATTTACAATTCATGCAAATTCGGGGTTTTCGCACTTTACATTTCCTCGCAATTTAAAATTCTGTTTTTCGATTCGATAGTCTTAATGTTTACGATACTTTAAAAACAAAATACCAAAGACAGCATTTTCGATATCCTGTAGTTTTCGATTCTCACACACGTTTTCGATTGAAAATTAAAATTGCTAGCCTAAACAAAAAGAACTTACGTGGTAGAATTTTGATTAGGACCAAAACACCCTTAGAATCGAGATCGATCGAAATTCCACCAGAAACAAATTGGCGCGCCAGGTAGGGGGTCTTGTGTTGAGAAACACAAAATTGGTTAGTTCGAAATTGTATGAGATTAAGGAGTGGTAGAGTCATGAGTCACAGTTCATCAAGTAACCAGAGTAACAGTGAGGGATTAAATGTGTCACACCCACCAAATACTGGGGGGCAAAGTCATAATGGGAACACACCTGTAGTATCGACAACTGTGAGCATGTCGATACCTGTGAATAGTGAACAAAATTCAGGTACATTAGCAAACACCCAAGTAGGATCTAGTACGGTGATACCAAATAATATGCAAACTATAGGAAATCCCACAACCACATATGTAGGGCCACGCATGAGTGTAAGACCGCCCGGGTTTTCACTAAATAATGTGAGTGGGGTTGGAACTTCTTCAACGCATAGGAATTCGAGATATAACTTAGGAATGTCCCAAACACTAGGCATGCCACAAAATTTTGGAATCCCTCCGAATTTAGGGACATCGCAAAACTTAGTAATTCCACAGAATTCAGGGAATGGACAGAATTTAGGCACACAACAGATACCTCCAAATCTAGATCAGAGGGGATACTTAGATCATGGGAGACATGTATTCGATAGAGACTATCATCGATCTAATTTTGATTCTATCGAAAATATGGGTATCGGAATATCTAGTAATTCATTAGGGGTAGTTAGACAACAAATGGATGAGAGTAATTTTGAAATGGTGAATATGTTATCACAACAATTGACTACAGTTTTAAATCCATTAGTGCAAAACACTACTGCGAGCTTTGAGATATTAGCAGACCAAATGTCACGAATCGGGGATGCATTGGCTGTGCCTCGACAAACGAGGATAGAAAATCATGCTAATCAGAATACTAATATTAATCCCCCATATCTATTGAGAAGAAATAGAAACAATGATCAACAGCAGCGTATGGGAAATGAATACCAACATGTGAGGAATGACCCGTATGGGAATTTGAACGAAGGATTTCAAAATATACACAATCAGAATAACATGTTAGGACAAGGGATGAATTTACAAGGGATGGAATTTAGACCACCCAATCAGACATATTTTGTGTCTCCCTTTCCGAATGCGATTCTCGAGACAGAATTGCCTCGAGGATATAAAGTACCCAAATTCACTAAATTTGCTGGAGAAATTGGTGAATTGACTATCGAGCATGTGGCTCGATATCAGATCGAATGCGGGGATTTAGCGATGAGTGAAGAATTAAAAATGAAATATTTTCCTAGTTCTTTGACTAAGAGTGCTTTTACTTGGTTCACATCATTGCCACCCAATTCGATATATAATTGGCTGCAATTGGAAAGAAATTTTCATGAGCAATTCTTTAGAGGAGAAACTCAAGTGAGTCTCATCGACTTGATGAATATAAAAAGATACAATCATGAAAACATAGATGATTATTTGAATCGATTTAGACAAATGAAATCAAGATGTTTTACTCAAATTGCTGAATATGAGTTAGTCAGAATGGCCTCTGCAGGTTTAGAATTCTCGATTAGGAAAAAACTAGTCAATTTACCATTGAATGACATGGCTCAATTAGCTGATAAAGTGAGAAGAGTGGAACAAATAGAATATGAGAAACAAAGGTATAAGAAATATGAGAAACCTTTGAAAAAAGAAAGAATAACATACATAAATGATGTATATGAGACAGATAACGTGACAGAAGGTGATATTGAAGAAACTGTCGATGAGAAAGTAAACATAGCAGAACTCAAAGTAGGGGTTCCATATACTTGTAAACTGCTACAAAAGAATGAAGTGAAAGATAAAATGGCAAATCGAACATATACTTTCGATGTGACGAAAGCTGATAAAATCTTCGATGTTTTGTTAAAAGACAAACAAATTAAATTGAGCGAAGATCATAAACTGCCTTCGGCAGAACAAAGAAATGGTCGAAAATATTGTAAATTTCATAATGTTTTTGGACATTGGACTAACAATTGCATACATTTCAGGAACACCATCCAAGATGCGATTGACCAAGGAAGGTTGAGGTTCGAAGAAATGACAATGAAAGTTGACACGAGTCCATTCGAGGCCCAAGTTGGATACCTCGAATCCCAAATAGGCATTACTGATGATGCCCGATTAACAAATTCGGCCTTTATAGGCATGGTAGATGTCACTGAAGACATCGATCCTAAGCACGTTAGAATGGACGTATCTGAGGAAGATATGGAATTTGACCTGAGTGAATTCGAGAGAGAGTTCGAGAAGGAAGTATACCCTCGATCAGGAGATTCTCTCATTGAATTTTTGAATAGGAAGAAAGAAAAAGACGAAGATGTGTCGTTATGCCCACGATGCAGTGCAGTGTTCGATAAATCGGCTGCTAAAGCTTTCAAGTCAGAGCAAATAAAGAAGATCGAGAGCCAAAACAAAAGGAAAAATGACAAAGTAGATCAAACAGTCCGACCAACAATCGAAGAAAGTCAACAGAAATCCGTTGGTTCTGGTGTTAGTGAAAACCAAAGGCAATGGATCAGAAGAGAAATGTATCATTCTCGAGGAGGAAAAGGCAGACTGCAAAGCCATGATGTCTTCGAGAGATTGTCATACGATGAGGGGTCAAACACTGGATTCCCAAGATTCCAAAGAAGGTTCCGAGGAAGGCCCTGGAGAAGAGGAGGAAGGATCCCTTATTGGAATAATTATAGAAATTTCGAAGAGAATATTGTACCGATGGATAGTCAATATGCAAGAGAATATTTCGATGATAAGAATGAGGGTACTTGGGACGAGCATCAAATCGGAGTAATATCGATACTACCAGCAGAATATGTTAGTGAATATCAAGAGTACCAAGAACAGAGTGATGCCAATCGAGAAGATGACTTTTACTTAGAAAATATAAAACCAAAAGTAATATGGGTTACACAAACATCATGTGAAGTTCCTCATAGAGACGCTGCTTTCATCGATCCCCCATCGGAGGAAATGAGGTTCCACTTGAAACCATTATTATTGAACATAGAGATCCAAGGACAGATGGTGAATAGAGTCCTTGTCGATGGTGGAGCAGCAGTGAATATACTACCAATTACTATGCTAAAGAAATTTGGCATTGAACTAAAAGACTTAGTCAAGCACAATATTATGATTTCCGACTTTAGCGGGAAAACGTCAAGTTCAGAAGGTATGATTGCCTTAGACGTGAAAGTGGGCACTTACTCGAGACCTACTGTGTTTGTTGTGGTCCAGTCGCATGCCAATTTCAATGCATTACTTGGCAGAGAGTGAATTCATGGAGTAGGAGCTGTGCCTTCGACAGCTCATCAAAAATTATTTATGTGGAATCGAGATGGACATCTCGAAGTAATCCCAGGAGATCAGCACGAATTTGTAACATTCGTATCTCAGCCGGTCGAGCACCGCGAATCTGGCGCTTGCTCAACCATTCACCTTCGAAACAGTCGAAGATTTTAATTCAAAACTGCATGAGGAGCGTTTCCTAGAGATGAATGAGAAGAAAGGATTC